TCCCCGCCTTCTGAGGCAGTCTGGTGCCAGCACCGTGGGAGAGGGTGCCGCCCGTCCCCCTTAGGTGTCCTAACCTCAAGAACCTGTCATACTAAAGTGCCCTTATCCTAACCTACCAGAGGGCCCAAAACAGAAAACGGGGCAGTATGTCAATTTCGCGAGTCGCTACCATTTTTCTAGTACGATGATTTTTGGCCTTAAATTATACGTCAAAATGCGACGTTCTATAAGGAGAACGGGTTGGGGGGTGAGTGCTGCCCCCACACTCCCTCCTCAGCTTTACGTTTGACTTCCTCCTCGTGTTCATGGAGTAACTTATATCATTCTAACTCCTTCCTAGTTTTTTTCTGCAGTAGATAATCATGGATTAACTTCTCCTGTGTGTGGAGCTGTTGGTGAAATAAAAGATATATTCATTCTAATGTTTTTATTAATATAACAATGAAGAGTGTGAGAAAAGTCAGATCTCTCTAGGTCAAAGAGTGTGACCAACCAGGTAGAACATATTACTAATACAATTAGAACATTTGCCAGTGCAGGCTACTAAACATATGGCCCTGTATGACTAATCATCCTGCGAGATGGGGACTTGTATTACCACTGCTGCCTTATTCACTCTTGTGTTGATGATATCCTCAAAATGCGTCCGGAGTCTGCCAGTGCAGACTGCCTATTACATGCCTCTGTATGACTAACCATCCTGTGTGATGGGGATTTTTTAGCATCACGTAGCTAGCTTTTTGACACACTGTACTACCTTTTATACAGTCTAGGATAGCTGCACAAATGCCGATGTACCTAATGTATTAATAAAAAACAAAAAAAGATTACCCGAAAACATTGAACAGAATTCTTTCGGGCTAGAGTTATGTAAATAGTGAGTAGGGAAGATGGTTACAGTGATGAAGACAGTGTAAACAGTGAAGATAGTGTGTAGTGAAGCTGTGAGATGAGGGGGTGGAGGGAAGATGGGAGGGGGAGTTTGGCAGAGGCGAGGGGGAGAAGTAGGGGAGAGGGGAGGGAGAGAGGAGTAGGGGAGAGAGGAGGGGAGAAGAGTAGGGGAGAGGGAAGGGTGAGGAGAGGAGAGGGGAGGGGAGGGGAGTAAGGAGTAAGGGAGGGAGGAGGAGTAAGTGAGAGGGGAGGGAGAGTAAGGGAGAGGGGAGGGGAGAGGGGGAGGGGGAGTAAGGGAGAGGGGAGGGGGAGTAAGGGTGAGGGGAGAGGGGAGGAGGAATAAGGGAGAGGGGAGAAGGGAAGGGGAGTAAGGGAGAGGGGGGTAGGGGAGGAGGATTAAGGGAGAGGGGAGGGGATAGGGAGAGGGGATGGGAGGGGGGAGGAGGAGTAAGGGAGAAGGGAGGGGAGGTGGAGTAAGGGAGAGGGGGAGGGAAGTTGGAGTAAGGAAGAGGGGAGGGGGAAGGGGGGAATGGTGGGGAGGAAGGGGGGACGGAGAAGGGTTACTGTGGCTCAGCAACGTGCACGTATTGCTGAGCCACAGCAACGTGCACGTATTGCTGAGCTACAGCAACGTGCACGTATTGCTGAGCCACAGCAGCGTGCACGTATTGCTGAGCCACAGCAACGCGTGGCCGGGTTCAGCTAGTATGTAGATAAATAGAAATGTCTGTTTGGTCGAGACTGGAGGCCAGACGGGAAAGAAACGGAAAGAGATGTTAGAAAAACAGGAGAGAGACGGGGCAGGACAGGGAGAGGAGACAGGCATAGAAGGGTTGGATAGAGGCAGACTAACCCCGGGACCCGCCGGGTAACACCCCCCCCCCCTTACTACTGTATATTCCAGTCCTATACCAGAATATTGCCCAGGCTATTGAAGGCTCATACCATACCTGAGCCGCTCTGAAAAATCTGTTCTACCTAACTTTTCCAGTAATGTTTTCCCGGGCAATAAAATGTTATGAAAGCCAATAGAATGTTCCCTGGGTGTATGGCCAGCCGCTCTCCCTCTCTGGGTGTATGGCCAGCCGCTCTCCCTCTCTGGGTGTATGGCCAGCCTCTCTGGGTGTATGGCCAGCCTCTCTGGGTGTATGGCCAGCCTCTCTGGGTGTATGGCCGGCCTCTCTGGGTGTATGGCCGGCCTCTCTGGGTGTATGGCCGGCCTCTCTGGGTGTATGGCCGGCCTCTCGGGGTGTATGGCCGGCCTCTCTGGGTGTATGGCCGGCCTCTCTGGGTGTATGGCCGGCCTCTCTGGGTGTATGGCCAGCCTCTCTGGGTGTATGGCCAGCCTCTCTGGGTGTATGGCCAGCCTCTCTGGGTGTATGGCCAGCCTCTCTGGGTGTATGGCCAGCCTCTCTGGGTGTATGGCCAGCCTCTCTGGGTGTATGGCCAGCCTCTCGGGGTGTATGGCCAGCCTCTCGGGGTGTATGGCCAGCCTCTCGGGGTGTATGGCCAGCCTCTCTGGGTGTATGGCCAGCCTCTCTGGGTGTATGGCCAGCCTCTCTGGGTGTATGGCCAGCCTCTCTGGGTGTATGGCCAGCCTCTCTGGGTGTATGGCCAGCCTCTCTGGGTGTATGGCCAGCCTCTCTGGGTGTATGGCCAGCCTCTCTGGGTGTATGGCCAGCCTCTCTGGGTGTATGGCCAGCCTCTCTGGGTGTATGGCCGGCCTCTCTGGGTGTATGGCCGGCCTCTCTGGGTGTATGGCCAGCCTCTCTGGGTGTATGGCCAGCCTCTCTGGGTGTATGGCCAGCCTCTCTGGGTGTATGGCCAGCCTCTCTGGGTGTATGGCCAGCCACTCTGGGTGTATTGCCGGCCTCTCTGGGTGTATGGCCGGCCACTCTGGGTGTATGGCCGGCCTCTCTGTGTGTGTATGGCCGGCCTCTCTGGGTGTATGGCCAGCCTCTCTGGGTGTATGGCCAGCCTCTCTGGGTGTATGGCCGGCCTCTCTGGGTGTATGGCCGGCCTCTCTGGGTGTATGGCCGGCCTCTCTGGGTGTATGGCCAGCCGCTCTCCCTCTCTGGGTGTATGGCCAGCCTCTCTGGGTGTATGGCCAGCCTCTCTGGGTGTATGGCCAGCCTCTCTGGGTGTATGGCCAGCCTCTCTGGGTGTATGGCCAGCCTCTCTGGGTGTATGGCCAGCCTCTCTGGGTGTATGGCCAGCCTCTCTGGGTGTATGGCCAGCCTCTCTGGGTGTATGGCCAGCCTCTCTGGGTGTATGGCCAGCCTCTCTGGGTGTATGGCCAGCCTCTCTGGGTGTATGGCCAGCCTCTCTGGGTGTATGGCCGGCCTCTCTGGGTGTATGGCCGGCCTCTCTGGGTGTATGGCCGGCCTCTCTGGGTGTATGGCCGGCCTCTCTGGGTGTATGGCCGGCCTCTCTGGGTGTATGGCCACCCTCTCTGGGTGTATGGCCACCCTCTCTGGGTGTATGGCCAGCCTCTCTGGGTGTATGGCCAGCCTCTCTGGGTGTATGGCCAGCCTCTCTGGGTGTATGGCCAGCCTCTCTGGGTGTATGGCCAGCCTCTCTGGGTGTATGGCCAGCCTCTCTGGGTGTATGGCCAGCCTCTCTGGGTGTATGGCCAGCCTCTCTGGGTGTATGGCCAGCCCGGCCTCTCTGGGTGTATGGCCAGCCTCTCTGGGTGTATGGCCGGCCTCTCTGGGTGTATGGCCAGCCTCTCTGGGTGTATGGCCGGCCTCTCTGGGTGTATGGCCAGCCTCTCTGGGTGTATGGCCGGCCTCTCTGGGTGTATGGCCAGCCTCTCTGGGTGTATGGCCAGCCTCTCTGGGTGTATGGCCGGCCTCTCTGGGTGTATGGCCGGCCTCTCTGGGTGTATGGCCAGCCTCTCTGGGTGTATGGCCGGCCTCTCTGGGTGTATGGCCGGCCTCTCTGGGTGTATGGCCAGCCTCTCTGGGTGTATGGCCGGCCTCTCTGGGTGTATGGCCAGCCGCTTAGCCTCAAACTTCTCATGTTTTTCGGAGTTGAAGCTCCAGTCAACATTCATGTTTCTACAATATAAAAGCCGTGATATCGATTGTTGGCCTCACTGCTGTACGAATGAATTGTTATGATAATTTAATAATAAACTCTATTTTATATAAGATATTGTCAACACCTTAGCTTTTAATCATGGGTTTTCCATTTGATTGACAGTTGAGAGGCGGGACCTAAGAGCCAAAGCTCAACTCCCGCAAGCACTACTAGGCGAGTACAGGTGGCAACACTGAGGGTGACACCCTGCAGGGACCTCTTCAGCACCACAGGTGACAACACTGAGGGTGACACCCTACAGGGACCTCTTCAACACCACAGGTGACAACACTGAGGGTGACACCCTACAGTGACCTCTTCAACACCACAGGTGACAACACTGAGGGTGACACCCTACAGTGACCTCTTCAACACCACAGGTGACAACACTGAGGGTGACACCCTACAGGGACCTCTTCAACACCACAGGTGACAACACTGAGGGTGACACCCTACAGTGACCTCTTCAACACCACAGGTGACAACACTGAGGGTGACACCCTACAGGGACCTCTTCACCACAGGTGACAACACTGAGGTGACACCTTACAGGGACCTCTTCAACACCACAGGTGACAACACTGAGGGTGACACCCTACAGGGACCTCTTCAACACCACAGGTGACAACACTGAGGGTGACACCTTACAGGGACCTCTTCAACACCACAGGTGACAACACTGAGGGTGACACCCTACAGTGACCTCTTCAACACCACAGGTGACAACACTGAGGGTGACAACACTGAGGGTGACACCCTACAGGGACCTCTTCAACACCACAGGTGACAACACTGAGGGTGACAACACTGAGGGTGACAACACTGAGGGTGACAACACTGAGGGTGACAACACTGAGGGTGACAACACTGAGGGTGACACCCTACAGGGACCTCTTCAACACCACAGGTGACAACACTGAGGGTGACACCCAACAGTGACCTCTTCAACACTGAGGGTGACAACACTGGGGGTGACAACACTGAGGGTGACAACACTGAGGGTGACAACACTGAGGGTGACAACACAGGGTGACAACAGTGGGGGTGACAACACTGAGGGTGACACTGAGGGTGACAACACTGGGGGTGACAACACCGAGGGTGACAACAGTGAGGGTGACAACACTGAGGGTGACAACACTGGGGGTGACAACACCGAGGGTGACAACAGTGAGGGTGACAACACTGAGGGTGACAACACTGAGGGTGACAACAGTGAGGGTGACAACAGTGGGGGTGACAACTCTGAGGGTGACAACACTGAGGGTGACAACACTGATGGTGACAACACTGGGGGTGACAACACCGAGGGTGACAACAGTGAGGGTGACAACACTGGGGGTGACAACACTGAGGGTGACAACACTGAGGGTGACAACAGTGAGGGTGACAAAAGTGGGGGTGACAACTCTGAGGGTGACAACACTGAGGGTGACAACACTGATGGTGACAACACTGGGGGTGACAACACCGATGGTGACAACAGTGAGGGTGACAACACTGGGGGTGACAACACTGAGGGTGACAACACAGAGGGTGACAACACTGAGGGTGACAACACTGGGGGTTACAACACTGAGGGTGACAACAGTGAGGGTGACAACAGTGGGGGTGACAACACTGAGGGTGACAACAGTGGGGGTGACAACACTGAGGGTGACAACACTGAGGGTGACAACACTGAGGGTGACAACACTGGGGGTGACAACACTGGGGGGGTGACAACACTGAGGGTGACAACACTGAGGGTGACAACACTGGGGGTGACAACACTGGGGGGGTGACAACACTGGGGGGTGACAACACTGGGGGGGTGACAACACTGGGGGGGTGACAACACTGGGGGTGACAACACTGAGGGTGACAACACAGAGTGACAGCACTGAGGGTGACAGCACTGCGGGTGACAACACTGAGAGTGACAACACTGAGGGTGACACCACTGAGGGTGACAACACTGAGGGTGACAACACTGGGGGGTGACAACACTGAGAGTGACAACACTGAGGGTGACAACACTGAGGGTGACAACACTGAGGGTGACAACACTGAGAGTGACAACACTGAGAGTGACCACACTGAGGGTGACAACACTGAGGGTGACAACACTGAGGGTGACAACACTGAGGGTGACAACACTGAGAGTGACAACACTAAGAGTGACAACACTGAGGGTGACAACACTGAGGGTGACAACACTGAGAGTGACAACACTGAGGGTGACAACACTGAGGGCGACACCACTGGGGGTGACAACACTGAGGGTGACTGTTACGAACCCGGATCCAGCGTCCGAGCCGGGAGCAGTGACAACCACGCCATCTGTGGGTCAGCTCCCGAAACCCCCGCCAAACGGACGACGACACCTGGTGAGGACAGCGTGTACTGGCCTCGAGGACCAGTTTCCAGTCTGGCTCAGCGCTCAACACCGCCGCTCCTGACCTCTGGTGAGGTGGTGCTCCGACGACAGCGCCATCTATGGACTGGATACGTCAGGTATTTGCGCCCGCCACCGTAAGTGAGGAGTATTAGTGTCCCGGTTATTAATGACGTGTCTGCTTACAGAGCCGACCTGGGACCACTGTGTTGAAGGTGGAGTCAGTCTACCCGAGGCAGCCAGTCTCCATACTGTGAAGTTTGCTGCAGCTGTTGTGACGTCGTCCCCCCGGAAGAACACTGTGGTGTGTTAGCCTGCCAGTGGAGTGGCAGTGAAAGGATTTACCCGGGACCGACGGTTGGAGACGATAATCCACTGGGGTATTGAGGACAGGAGGGTGATTGGTGATATCACACGAGACTCCTGTCTAGGGCATACCCCTTTTATCGTTCGTGGAGTGGCCGTACCAGCCTTGGTGGCTCAGTACCTGCCAGCAGACCTGCTGGACGTGTGGTTGACGGCCTCCACGACGGTGCCCCCAGTGGACCTGTGTTGTGGCTGACCTGTGGCCAGGGTAGGCTCGGCGTTCTCAGAGGACACGTCTTGAGGCCACGAAGAAAGCACCGCGGACTCAGCACCTAGCTTCTTGATCAAGAGTCTTCAGCAGAAGACTAGTTTGTGCACGATCCCCTTGTAAAGTGTTAATACCCCTCCCCTTTGTGTACTCTTTTATTCTATATATTTAAACGGTGATGGTGAACATTATATTATATTAAGTTCTTAACTTTCTTTCCCTACTCCCTTTTAAGTTACTTGCGTCACGGATCTCATCCCTTGATAGCCACTACTGGCTTGGGAACGGATATATATATCTTCCTCTAACAACATCAGAGCAAGAACCCCGTTGCGTCCCGAGAGGGCCGTAACATAATTGGCATCCCCAGCGGGATCCGTCCCCTTGTTAAGTATGTTTGACAGGGGTGGTGAAGTGGCGTAATCCCTGTATATAATTCCCCCTGTGTGACGATTGCGACGTTATACGTCCTGAGCGGTGCTCAGAGTGACTAAGCGCGATATTGTGCAGTGCGGTGCTCGCTGTGATTAAGCGATTAAGTGCAATATTGACTAGTGCGGTGCTCAGTGATTTAGTGTAATATTGTAGAGCGAAGTGTTCGCTTGGACTCAGTGCAATATTGGGTAGTGCGGTGCCCGAAGTAATTACGTGCAATATTGGCAAGTGCAGTGTTTGGTGCGATAAAGTGCAATATTGGCGTAGAACAGTGCTCGGTGCGTTAAGTGCTAACGTGTAAGCAGTGTGTTAAGTGCTAGTTCAGTGTTCTATCTGTGACAATGGCAGAGAAAGCTACCATCGATGATCTGGACGATGTGCAGGCTTTTCTGAACAGAGAGGACTGTCTTGCCAGATTAAAATATCTGAGCAAACCGGAGCTTGTACTAGTGAGCGCCTACCTGGAGATCAAGATCCGTGCCAGTGATTCCCGTGTGGAGATCTTGTCCAAGGTTCACCGGCACTTGAAGGCAGAGGAGAAACAGGAAGGCGAGGCTCCTAGTACAAAGGAAGGTGAGGAAATAGCTTCCACGGAAAAGGAAGAGAAGGGCAGTGACGTTGACAGTGATGCAGGTGAGCTTAATATTAGCTTTCTTACAGTCAAAATGCGCGCCCTAGAAATAAATCGCGAGATAGAGTGGAAGAAGTTAGAATTAGAACGAGAAGTAAAAGATAAAGAGATGGAGATGAAAGATAAGGAAATGGCGATGAGGCGTTTAGAATTGGAAGAAAGGAAAGAAGAACGAGAAAGAGAAGAGAAACGAGAAAGAGAAGAACGAGAAAGAGAAGAGAGACGAGAAAGAGAAAGAGAAGAACGAGAAAGAGAAGAGAGACGAGAGAGAGAAGAACGAGAAAGAGAAGAGAAACGAGAGAGGGAAGAACGAGAAAGAGAAGAGAAACGAGAGAGAGAAGAGCGAGAAAGGGAAGAGAAACAGCGAGAGAGAGAAGAAAAAGAAAGACAGAGACAACACGAACTAGAAGTATTGCGATTAGGCGGTGGTCGGAGGCTAACAACGGACACCAGCGGTTTCGATCCGGTACGAAACATCAAAATGGTCCCCAAATTCAATGAGAGGGAAGCCTCGAAGTTCTTTGCAGCCTTCGAGAAAGTCGCTGCCTCTTTGGAGTGGCCAAGGGAGAATTGGGCCATCATGATACAGTCAGTCTTGACTGGGAAGGCCCAAATCGCCTACTCTACGTTATCCCTTGACGACTCCAGCGATTACGACAAGGTGAAGAAAGTGGTGCTCATGGCGTACCAATTGGTACCTGAGGCATATAGGCAAAAGTTCCGAAACCTGAAGAAGACCTCAGAGCACACTTTCACCGAATTCGCCACCATCAAGGAGCGACTTTTCCAGGAATGGTGTGCCTCTCGGAAGGTGGAGACCAGGGAAGACCTCGAGCAGCTGATTCTGCTCGAGGACTTCAAGGATTGTTTGTCTGGAGACCTCAAGACGTACTTAGAGGAACAGCAGGTGGAGACCTTGAGTGCAGCAGCCACCATGGCTGAAGAGTATATCCTGACTCATAGGCCGTCTGCTAAGTACGTCCCGAGGAATTACCAGCGCCGGTTTGACAGACCTCACGGCGAAGATGAAGAGACTCCCGTCCCACGAAGCGCTAAGAAGACGCCCCCAAGTAGCCCCCGAAGAACAAGTCCCAGTAGTCCGAAACACCGTAGTCCAAGGAGGAATATGGTGTGCTGGACTTGTGGGCAGAAAGGGCACATAGCTGCTAGGTGCCGAGGTAGAAGAGGTGGCAGCGCACGAAGGGAGGTGATGTTGGTGAGCTGTGTTACATCACCAGTAGGAAACCAGTCTACGACGACGCAGGAAGGACCAAGTTTGTTGGCCCCTCACACTTCAACCGGGTATGTAACGAGTGATCATACTGGTAGATCAATTGTAGTGCTCAGAGATAGTGGAGCAGCCCAGTCCCTGATCGTGAAGAGCTCGTTACCCGAGGGAGTAAGTGTGGATGGGAGACCAGAGGTGATCCTGGTTGGGTTTCCTAGGACGCAGTACATCGCCCCCTTAGTGCCAGTACATCTTGATTCGCCTTATTTCAGCGGCACATGTGAGTTGGCAGTAGTCGATACCCTCCCTGTGGCTGGGATTGACGTGGTACTAGCCAACGACTTGGTGACCGATTGGAGCACCAATCGTCCCAAGGTTGCGGACGAGTCTACCAGAACAGCAAGGTCGGAGGTGACAACAGGCAATGGTAATGTCCAGGTAAAGACAGACCCGGATTTGAACATGTCTAATTTGTCCTCTCACCCGCAGATCGATGATATTCTAGCAGTGTCTCCTGATTCTCTCGACGAGGAACATGAAGTTAAGAAGGCAGAGGTACCTGAGCAAGAAGAGAGGCCTTGTGTGCGGGCACCCACGGATACCAACGAGTCTGGAGCAAAGGCGGATGTGTGCTTGCGGTATGGCAAGTTACAGCGTGTAGTGGACCAGCCAGAGATTCCCCAGACGTCAGAGGTATGTGAGGTGTGTTCAAAAGGTCTAGTGCCCTCTTCTGTCCAAGCCAGGCTAGTGGATGGTGCCGGCTATGGACATGACAAGCTCAGGAAACTTATCCCTCGAATTGCCAAATGTTTCCTACCGGTATTTTGTTTTGTTCTCCTATGTGTTCTCTGTGTTCTCAGTAAGGACCGGTGGACGACCCGACGAATGATGGCTCCCATGAACATCGCGAAAAGGTCCCAGGGATTGGAGATTTGTACTGCAGGTGTTGCAGTTGAAGGAGGGACCTGGAAGGTGATGGTTGATACAGGAGGTACGACAAATGATAATATGAGTGACTGTTTCCGACAGGTTGACACCCCCGCGTGATTGCTGAGCCTCAATACAGCGTTATACGGAACGTTGGTCGACCTGACGGTGGCAGAGCGAATGCCATCTTCGGTGAGCAAGCAGCCCTGTTGAAACTAGGTGTGGGCCTAGTAGAGGAGAGTATAGTAAGTACTGACTTGCCCATTGTCGCTAGCACTCTGAATTATCAGACCCCTGTATTCCAGGTTCCTGCCTCCCTGAAGGACCATCGGACCGGCACCAGAAATGCCGTCTGTGGACAGCCATCATCGGTGCCACGACATAGGGAAGTGTCGAGTTACCCCAGATCGTGTCGAAACCAATCCGTACTCGAGAGAGGTGAGATGAAACCCCTGCTTGACATCGCAGTGGAGACGTGGAAGACGTGGAAGGTTACGCCAGGCAGGGCATCGCCTTCAATCTGCAAGTTCCCATTGAGCCGGAATTGCCCAGAAGGACAATTCTGTAGACGAGACAGCCTCGCAATTCCAGATCATAAAGCATGCGTGTCCATTTGGAGTTGTGTCGTCGTACTAATTTGGTTTGTGTTTCTTTTTATAGAACCCCAAACCAAATTCTTTTTGGTGGGGAGGTGTTACGAACCCGGATCCAGCGTCCGAGCCGGGAGCAGTGACAACCACGCCATCTGTGGGTCAGCTCCCGAAACCCCCGCCAAACGGACGACGACACCTAGTGAGGACAGCGTGTACTGGCCTCCAGGACCAGTTTCCAGCCTGGTTCAGCGCTCAACACCGCCGCTCCTGACCTCTGGTGAGGTGGTGCTCCGACGACAGCGCCATCTATGGACTGGATACGTCAGGTATTTGCGCCCGCGACCGTAAGTGAGGAGTATTAGTGTCCCGGTTATTAATGACGTGTCTGCTTACAGAGCCGACCTGGGACCACTGTGTTGAAGGTGGAGTCAGTCTACCCGAGGCAGCCAGTCTCCATACTGTGAAGTTTGCTGCAGCTGTTGTGACGTCGTCCCCCCGGAAGAACACTGTGGTGTGTTAAGCCTGCCAGTGGAGTGGCAGTGAAAGGATTTACCCGGGACCGACGGTTGGAGACGATAATCCACTGGGGTATTGAGGACAGGAGGGTGATTGGTGATATCACACGAGACTCCTGTCTAGGGCATACCCCTTTTATCGTTCGTGGAGTGGCCGTACCAGCCTTGGTGGCTCAGTACCTGCCAGCAGACCTGCTGGACGTGTGGTTGACGGCCTCCACGACGGTGCCCCCAGTGGACCTGTGTTGTGGCTGACCTGTGGCCAGGGTAGGCTCGGCGTTCTCAGAGGACACGTCTTGAGGCCACGAAGAAAGCACCGCGGACTCAGCACCTAGCTTCTTGATCAAGAGTCTTCAGCAGAAGACTAGATTGTGCACGATCCCCTTGTAAAGTGTTAATACCCCTCCCCCTTGTGTACTCTTTTATTCTATATATTTAAACGGTGATGGTGAACATTATATTATATTAAGTTCTTAACTTTCTTTCCCTACTCCCTTTTAAGTTACTTGCGTCACGGATCTCATCCCTTGATTGCCACTACTGGCTTGGGAACGGATATATATATCTTCCTCTAACAACATCAGAGCAAGAACCCCGTTGCGTCCCGAGAGGGCCGTAACAGTGACACCACTGAGGGTGACAACATTGAGGGTGACAACACTGAGGGTGACAACACTGAGGGTGACAACATTGAGGGTGACAACAACACAGGTGACAACACTGAGGGTGACACCCTACAGGGAGGATGTTACCAACACAAGCTCCGAGATAATCTCTCCCAACCTATTCTTTAAGGCATAAATAGTACATATAATAATGGCCATATTGTCCAGGTATAATACCCAGACCCTTCACTCTAAACTCTAGCAATCATGGCATTATCTGCCCCCAAGTGGCTCTTTAGTGCCACTTTGCACTCTAATGTCACCCTCCCGACGATCGTGTTTCGCTGATCACACATAAATAAAATATTGCCTCACATCTACGGCCTCCCATGTAACACTACTCACACAGGTAGACCTTTCTACTCTCGTCTACCTCACAACACTACTTCTGTCTACCGCCTCGTAGCGCTCTGCTCCCTCACATGTTGACTGAAGTTTAAATTATTATCTTAAAATATATTTCCTCCTTGAATTGCATTATTTTGTTATGGATTCATTAATTTTACTAAAGGGGGAGGGAAGAGAACTATCAAGAGAAAGAGCCAAGCCATTACGACTATATAGCACATGGAAGGGGTCAGGATAACGATTTCTGATGGGACGGTGGGAAGGAATGGTGCCCACCCACTTGGACGGTCGGGGATAGAACGTCGACCTGCATGTCCACCGTCCAGCCCAAGTGATTAGCAGTGACAAAGAGAATACTTAAACAAATATCTAATGAAAATCTCACCGATCTAACAAATTCACAAAGACCTGAAAGTTGTAGCATTAAATATTATGATAGATATCGTGAGGAGACATTCACATATGGGACTAATAGAACAAGAACCCGGCAATGTGATGTTATAGTGGCCAGAATACGCCTGGGATATAGACTTATCTGGCAGCTTTCTCAAAACCCAAATGTCGAGTACACAATGTGTCAACTTTGTGAAAGAAAAAACATGCACTCTCTTGAACATTATATTGTAGAATGTCCCATACTGACTGACTTTCGCCCTCCTGGGCTAAGGTATGCTGAACTCTGTAGTTACTATATGAGTACTGGAACACTTGATGATATATTGGACTTGTATCCAAGATTGACCATGTAATATATCACTTATTCAATGTTATATTCAATATATCATTTATTCAATGTTATATGATGTAACTATATAACCTGAGCTTGTAAAAGCACCTTCATCACCTTCAGTGATTAAGTGCTTAATTGCACACTAGTTTCTTTATCAGCTATCTCACCCAGTCAGAGTAAATGAGACAGATGTATGTGAATGCATGTGTGTGTATATGTATGTATATGTATGGGTATAAAGTATATATGGAAGCTGATCAGAATTACATTTCACCTTTGTGAATGTACATTAATGACACTATGTAAAAGACACATCAAACACTTTATGTAGGGCATACGTAAATCTGTGTATCTACGTATTTACGTATGTAGGTTAGCTTAGCATTTTAAAAGCACCGAATCACCTTCTGTGGTTGAGTGTTCAATAAACCCCTGAACTCTATGTTTAACATTTCTCTAACCCTGTCCATGGAGGACAGAAGAAAATGTATATATGCTGGTTAGCATTGTAAATGTGTGGCCACGTCTGTGGTAGAAAATAATAATAAAAAAAAAAAAAAAAAAAAAAAAAGCCCAAGTGGTTGGACTTTATAGAAGGAAGTAAAAGCATGCTATGTATGTTAAGATGTATTTTAGGCAAAGCTGTATTTTCAAGAACACATGACTCGCTTAAATATTGAGAAAGCAAACATTCACGATTGTAAGCTTGTGTGTAGTTCAGAGTGATAATTGGAACCCCTAGAGGTTGTGTGTAGTTCAGAGTGATAATTGGAACCCCTGGAGGTTGTTAGTAGTTCAAAGTGATAATTGGAACCCCCTGGAGGTTGTGTGTAGTTCACAGTGATAATTGGAACATATTTAGTATAGTGTGAGTTGCATTTACGTGCAACAGATGGCACTGTTTTTTTTTAAAAGCATGTTTTTACCTGTCACAGCTGTGTCATCTATTTAATCTATATAAATAAAAATATAAATGTTTGTTTGTTTAAAATTGCTAATCTCTGAAAGTTCTTCACCAATTGCTTTGAATTTTTCACACAACATTACATTTGCATCTGAACGTGTTTTTATATACATACTATATAGATGTTACTTCTGTGATGGGAAAAAAACATGCTTTTAGGAAAAAATGTGTTTTTAATGTGAGGGGAAATCTTCAAAACCTCTACCGATTGCTTTGAAATTTTGACACAACGTTCCATTCGAATACGCACGTGAATTTATATGCCTACTATATAGATGCCAGGTAAAATATTAAATAAAATATGACAGGTAAAAACATGCTTTTTTTTTTTAAATAACAGTGCCATCGGTTGCTCATAATAGCAACACACGCTATACTAAATATGTTACGATTCAATTTCAATATATATGATTGCATTGATAAATTGAATTTTCATAGATTTCGATTTATTTTCATTCTGATTTAATTATTTTGTGTGACATCGAATAAACCGAAATCTATGAAAATGAAATTTATCAATGCAATTGGTAACATTGAAATGGAATCGTAACATATATAGTATAGTGTGTGTTGCTATTACGTGCAACCGATGGCGCTTTTTTTTTTTTTTTTTAAACATGTTTTTACCTATCATATTTTGTTTTATATTTTACCTGGCATCTATATAGTAGGTATATAAAATCACACACGTATTCGTTGCTGAGCCACAGCAATCTTTTCCTGTCTCCCAGTCTTCCCCCTACCCAGTCCCCTCATCCTCTCCACGTTACCCCCCTCGTCCCCCCCCCCAGACCATTTTCCCACTCCTCCGTCCCTTTGTCCTCCCAACCATCACCCACTCCACTGTCCCCCTTATCCTCCTAACCATTTCCCCACTCCACCATCCCCTCTTCCTCCCCACTATCTCCCGGTCCCTGTCCCATCGTCCTTCCTACCATTGCTCCATTCCCCGTCCCCGTGTCCTCCCCACCATCCCTCACTCTCATATCCCCCTTATCCTCGCCACCATTCTCCATTCCCGTCCCCTTGTCCCCACCATCCCAATCTCCCCCATCCCCTCGTCCCCGTGGCTGTACTCGGCCACGATTTGCTGTGGCTCAGCAACGCATGTGCATTGCTGAGCCACGGTAACCCTCTTCTGTCTCCCAGTCCTCCCCATCATTCCCCCCTCCACCATCCCTTTGTCCTCCCCACCATCCCCCACTCCAGCGTCCCCTCATCCTCCCTACCATCTCACACTCTCTCGTCCCCTCGTCCTCCCTACCATTTCCCCCTCCCCTGCCCCTTCGTCCTCCCCACCATCCCCCACTCCCATCATCTCGTCCTTCCCACCATTCCCCACTTCGTCCTATGAAACATTCCCAAATGATCTGATCTTCCCATCAGAAAATTGGTAACATCAAATGATCTGATGTTCCCATCTCTGAAATATAAGAAAAACAGTTAAAAATTAAAAGAAACAATGAAAAAATAAAAAATAAACTATACTCGCGAAATGAACGGTATGGTAAACAACTCAGCTCAATTCCAACGCAATGTCACACAAAATATTCAAATCAAAATAAAAATAAATCGAAATCTATGAAAATTCAATTTATCAATAAAATCGGAAAAATTTAAATGGAATCGTAACATATTTAGTGCAGCGTGTGTTGCTCTTACGTGCAACAGATGGCGCAATTTTGCATAAAAGTATGTTTTTATCTGTCACAGGTGTGGCATCTATGCTTATTCTCAAGAAATGATTGGTATGGTGAACAACACAGCTCAATTCGAACACAATGTAACACAAAATAGTTAAATCAAAAAGAAAATAAATCGAAATCTATAAAAATTCTAATTTTCAATGCAATTGGAAACATTGATATGGAATCGTAACATATTTAGTAGTGTGTGTGTTGCTCTTATGTGCAACAGATGGCACTGTTTTTTAAACACAATGTTCTTACCAGTCACAGGTGTGGCATCTGTACTCATACTTACAAAATGAACGGTATGGTAAATAACAGCTCAATTCCAACCCATTGTCACACAAAATAATTAAATCCAAATGAAATTAAATCTAAACCTATGAAAATTAAATTTATCAATGAAATCGGATGCATTGAAATGGAATCGTAACATATTTAGTATAGTGTGTGTTGCTATTACGTGAAACAGATGGTGCTGGTTTTAAAAAACAGCATGTTTTTACCTGTCACAGGTGTGGAATTTATATAGTAGGTATATAAAAACACGCACGTATTCAAATGGAACGTTGTGTCAATATTTCAACGTTGTGTCAATATTTCAAAGCAATCGGTGAAGAACTTTGGATATTACAGTGTGTTTGGCTCAAACATCTAACAGATTGCGTTGTTAGATGTTTTAAAAAAACATGTTTTTTTCCTCTCACAAGAGAGGCATGTATATAGTAGGTATATAAAAACACGCACCTATTCAAATGAATTGTGTCAAAATTTCAAAGCAATCGGTAAAGAGGTTTTGAAGATTTCCCTTACATGAAAAACACTGTTTTTTAAGAAAAGCCTTTTTTTTCCTCGTCACAGACGTGACATCTATATAGTATGTATATACTATATTCACCCGCTCGGATGTGAATGGAACGATGTGTGAAAATTTCAAAGCAATCAGTGAAGAACTTTCGGAGATTAGCGGTTTTGAACAAACGAACATTTACATTTTTATTTATATAGATTTGTGTAGCCAGCGAGCAGTGCCAACAAAATCGTCGCGGGTGTCAGAATGTGACCCCTGGCACTCTACTGTCTCTTGAATTCTGGCGACCCGACCAGCCTATATCCGTCCCGTACCGTAGACCATGTACCCTGCAAAACTCTGTGAGCTTGAAACTCAAACGCTAGCTTGAAGCGATTGGCCTCCTGCACCCTCTGACAGACAGACAAACAGACATTCTCTCTCAAAGTACAGCTTATAATCTCATATATAACTAATCATCAACATGCTACTGTACTGTTTGTCATCATTAGAGCCACAGGTTCCAATCTGCTTCCCTCTCATTGCTCTCTTGCATTGAAAGAAATTAAAATTTTCCGAATAATTTCCTTAACAGCAGAGTGAACATTCGCGCCGCGTCATTACCACTAAGAGCAGCGCTCCGCTAAATGCTGTTTGTACACAACACCATTATCCCGCTCCAGCATAATAATTACTGCGAAAATTATGTTTTGACTCCA